CCGGCAAAATCTGCTACAATAACAAAGGTCTGCGGGCGAATTAATTATTAACAATTATTGTTTAATATTTATACCGCAGCACAGCTCCCGCCGCCGCCGCTTCCCAACTCCATGGACGGCCCCCATCCCTGCGGGATGTGAGGTGTCCACAGGGATGTCGTGGTGGGGTCCTACCTGGAATTAAGGCTGAGCCATTTTGGGGGTCCCACTGGACCCCCCCGAGCCACCTTAGATCCATAATCATCCTCCCACAGTTCCAGGGCCATTCCACAGGCTGGCCCTGAGCACATGGATATGATGTGCTGGATGCAGTGGAGCGGTCTCCATCCGTTTGTGGGGTCCCCAAGGTTGTCCCCATGGGAGATGCTGCTGCTTGGGGCGAATCTGTGTGGGATCAGCTGAGCCAAAGAGGGAATCCTGACAGGGGAGTGGATGCAGGGCACGAATCCAGGGACGAAACTGGGGTTGCTTGTCTGGAAGGGAGGGAAGAGGAAGGGGAAGGTGAAGGGGAAGGGGCTGGAGAAGGTGAAAGGGCGAGGGAAGGATGAGCATTAGGAAGGCAAAGAGGGAGGAAAGGAGAAGAGCTGGACAAGGAGAAGCCTGGAAACTGGGAAGGGGAAGGAGCTATATTTTCCCTGCCTCTCCTCACCCGGCTCTTCCGGATGCTCCTGGTGGGTGCTGCGCCCCCAATCCCAGCAGGAATACCCCGGGAATCCCATGTGACCCCCATGTTCTGTCCTGCAGGGAGCCCCTCCCGGGACGTGCTGCTGGTCTCAGCCATCATCACCGTCAGCCTTAGTGCCACCATCGTCCTCTGCGGGATCTGCCAGTGGTGCCAGCGCAAGATGGTGAGTGCCACCATTCCCTGCCCCCTTCCCAGCCCGGGGGGCCATTCCCACTGCCGGGAATTCCCCAGCTGTGCCTTTTCTTCGGGCTGGTTTTTCCAGCTGGGACAATGAAAGGTTTGGGTGCCGCCGTTCGCATGGCGCAAAGGGAAGTTTCCAAATATCTGGATATATGTTGGTGACGAGCCGGAACGAGCTGGCCCCTGTCCTGCTGGGCACGCTCCCGCCTGGAAAAGCCCCGTGGGAAGGCGGCCAGCCCATCCCTGGCACCACGAGCCGTCCCTGCCGCCCGCTTCCCTCTGCATTCCCACTGTGGATCGGGGCAGCGCTCCCTCCCTTCCTCCTCCTCCTTCTCCTGCTCTCCCGGGAGCAGGACGTGCTCGGCCACGTTTCCTTCGCCGTCGGAATTGAATCTGGGTCAAGTGCTCCGATGGCAGCGGCGCTTCCCGTGTGGGAGATGCCCGCCCTGAGCCGTGGGAAGGCAGCATTCCCCCAGGAATGGGAGAGGGGATCCAGCCAGGGGTAAGGCAGCGTGGGGGTGGTGGGTGGGAAGAGGCTTCCAGGTGCCCTCCAGGAGATGTGGAGAGGCAGGGATAAGCACTGGAAAGGAGGAGGACGAACTGGCAGAGGAACAAACAAGTGTAAATTGGCCAGGAAGGCGAATCCCAACCGGCCCTCGGCAGCGCCCGGAGCTGGAACGGCTGCGTGGGAATGACGGCCAAGCCCGGCAGGCCCGGCTCCGGGATGTGCCCACACGGCCAGTGCCGGGAGGGCCGTGTCCTCACGAGCCCTCAGCTGGGACAGGGATGAGCCCAGGGCTCAGGGACGACTCCCTCCAGGATGGCCTGTGGACATCCAGGGAGGTCAGACATCCCTGCAGCTCCTGGCAGGATTAGCCCTTGGGCAACCAAGAAGATCCAGGTGTTGCCCTGCAGCTCCCAGCAGGATCAGCCCACGGGCATCCAAGATCCAACATTCCTACAGAGCCTGGCAGGATTAGCCCATGGACATCCAAGGACATCCAACATCCCTGCAGATCCCAGCAGGATTAGCCCATGAGCATCCAAGGAAATCCAGGTGTTCCCCTGCAGTTCCTGACAGGATTAGTCCAAGGGCATCCACGTTCCAACATCCCCACAGAGCCCAGCAGGATCAGCCCATGGGCATCCAATATCCCAGCAGGATCAGCCTGTGGACAGCCAAAGAGATCCAGGTGTTCCCCTGCAGCTCCCAGCAGGATTAGCCCATGGACATCCAAGGGCATCCAACGTTCCTGCAGCTCCCAGGAGGATTAGCCCATGGGCATCCAAGGAGTTCCAACACCCTGGCAGCTCCCAGCTGGATCAGCCCATGGCTGCCCAAGGACACCGTGCCAAGAGCACAGGTGTCTCAGCATTCCAAGGATTTGGCTCCGTGCGGAGCTGCAGAGGCTGGGAAGGAGGAGAAGGGAGAAATATTCCCATTCCCTCGGCAGGCTGGATGCAGGGGGGATGCTCCCAGCTCCAGGCCCAGCGTGGTGGAAGGGCCGGTTCTCCAGCCCATCCTGCTGCGGGAGCTGCTCCCTTCCCACCTGGAGCCTCCTCGGCTCCTAATTGTTGCCTAATTGGTGCTAATTGCGCTCCGGGCTCTGAGCGTGCGGAACCCGCCGGAGTGTCCTGATTACCAGCCCCAGTTAGGAGCCAGCTCCGGCTTCATTATCCCACGGCAGTGCTTCCCAGGCGCTGGGAAAGGTGAACTCAATTAATCCAGCTTCAATTAAGCCTAAAATTATCCGCTGCTTCCCGGTGAGGCCTTGGAATGGGACACTGGAGGCAGTGACCGTCCTGTCCTTGGGGTGACGTGGGGCACGAGTCCCCAGGGATCATGGGACGAAGCAACTGGGAATTTTGCTGCTTGGATGGGTGGGATGGAGCCTGGAGACTGTGAGGGAACAAGGGAAAAAGGCGAAATCCAGGACAAACTCACCTGATGGAGGCAGCTCCCATCCTTTGCTGGGACGCTCCAGGGGTCCCCTGCCACTCCCTCATTCCTCTCTCCTGCCTTTTCCATAGGGAAAGCGTTACAAGACTTCTCTGGAGACTGTGGGAACTCCGGATTCCAGCCGAGGCCGCAGTGAAAAGAAAACCATCAAGTAGGTGCCAGGACTGGGGGGGAGAGGAAGGACAGAGGTGGCCATTCCCTGGTTCCCTACTCCCAGTGGGAAAGGGGCTCTGGGACACTGGGAGAGCTGGTGGGTCTCTCCTGCATCCTTGCGTATCCCACGGAGCCATAGGATGGAGCCACAGGAGCCTGAGCCCAGGGATGCTCCAGGTCTGGGAGAGCAGATGGCTCTGCATCCCGGGGGCATTCCATGCAGGAAGGAGAGCAGAGCTAAAGTGTCTCATGGCTCTGGGTAGGGAATGAAGTGCGGGGTTGGAAGTTGGAGGGGCTCTCCTGGATATCCCAGATCCAGTGCTGCCTCTGGAAACCCCTCACAGGGCTCCAGAGAGGAGGGAGCCGGACCGGCAATAGGGAAAGAGCTCCTGCCTGGAATAAGGCTATGGAAAACCTCCTCCCATGGTGTTATTGGGGTGCAGGTGTCTGGGGTACCTCGGGCACCTGGATGCTGCTCCCAGCCCTGCTGGGATGAGCTGGAAGTGGAGTGGGAAGCACATCCCCTCCTGAATCCCGGCACACGTGGCTTTCCCTCCCCAGCTCCGACACGTTCTGTACAGCCGGGATCATCCCGGAGCTGCAGGGCCCTTGCGAGGGCTGGGAGGGCCGGGCGGCTTTTCCAGTCTCCCAGCGGGGACCCTCTGGGCCCCCAGTCCCTGGCACGCAGATCTGGTGGCTTCCCGGAGCCAGGAATTCCAGGCTCCATGCTGGCAGCAGGAAGGGATCCGGAAGGGTCTCCAACACATGGTTAACCAAGCAGGGCGTGCTTCCAGGACCTGTTGAGGAGGCAACATGGACACACACGGGAATGCCGTGCCGGCACCACGCTCACTCCTTAATTCCCACCATCCTTCTCTCCTTCCCAGCTGGTGGAGCCGCCCGCTTCTGTCTCTCCACAGCTCTTCCCCGCTCCATCCATCCGTCTGTCCCTGTCCGTGTGTGTGTGTGTGTCGGTGTCCCAGGGATGGGCAGCCGCGCTCCCCGTCTCTCTCCGCAGGATCCCAGCGCTCCGGGGGCGGAGCGCTGCTTTCCCTTCCCCTTTCCCACAGGAATTCAGCTTCTCTCTCTTGTATTTCCCTTTTCTTTTCTCCCCTGGAATCCGGCCGCTGTAGCGATCTAGACAGAGACTTTTGGAATAACAATGACAACACAGTGCAGCAGAAATGGAGCTCCTACCCTCCCAAGGAGTTTATCCTAAACATTTCTCCTTACGCTCCGTACGGTGATCCGCGCCTTTCCCTCAAGTGAGTCTCTCCTTGCCAGGTTTGCTCCATGTAGTGAGTATTTGGGCAGCACCCTCTTGCCTTCCTTCTCCTCCTCCTCCTCCTCCTCCTCCTCCTCCTTTTCCTCCTCCTCCTCCTGCTCCCGGGCTCCCCGCACGCCACCCCATGGGCCTCCCCATGGAGACGAGCAACCCCTCCTTCCCGCTTTCCCGGGGCTTCCGGGGATGTCCCCCCAGGACGGGGTTGCACGTTGGGGGCACCCCCTCGGTGCGGGGTTGGGCTGCCGGCGAGCGGGACCCCAATTCCCGACCCCTTTCCCGTCTCCCCACTTTCTTTTGGACGGTTTTCAGAGGCCCCCCACGCGCCCCCTGGCCAGGCACCCTTTTTTTTGGCAGTGCTGATGTCTCTCTCTCTCTCTCTGTCTGTCTGTCCGTCTCTTGTCCGTCTGGCTCTGTCGCCCTCTCCCCTCATTCCCCAACAACTCCCGACCTCTCCCACGTCCGTCCGTGTGTCCGTCCGGCTCCATGTGTGTCCTGGGGGGTGTCCGGCCGCTGGCCCGGCCCAGTGGCTCTCTGTTATCAGGGGCCAAGCTGACGGCATCGGCCGCCTCCGGCTTATCCGGGGACCGGCCCGGGGACAAGCAGCGGCTCGGCGAGGACGGGATGAGGAGCAGCGTGTCCGCCCACAGCGAGCCCGGAGCGGGAAAGGCGGCACGAGGCCGCTGGCACACGGTGCAGAGCCACTTGGCCGCAGGGAAGCTCAGCCTGTCCAAGTGAGTGAGCACGGCACCGGCACGGAGACGCTCCCCTCCGAGGGATGCGCTCGGATGGGGGCCACTGGCAGGTCCCCGGGGCTACCAATATGTTCCCGAGGTCACCGGCAGGTCCCTGGGGCCACCAATGGGTCCTCAGGGCCACCAACAGGTCTTCAGGGCCATCAATATTTTCCCAAGGTCACCAGCAGGCTTCTGGGGCCACCAGAAGGTCTCTGGGGCCACCAATAGGTTCTCGGGGCCACCAATAGGTCTTCAGGGCCACCAATATATTCCTGACATCACCAGCAGGTCCCTGGAGACACCAACAGCTCCTCAGGGCCACCTATATATTCCCAAGGTCATCAGCAGGTCCCTTGGGCCACCAATATATTCCCGAGGTCACCAGCAGGTCTCTGGAGACACCAGCAGGTCTTCAGGGCCACCAACATGTTCCCAAGGTCACCAACGGGTCCCTTGGGCCACCAGCAGATTCTCAAGACCACCAACAGGTCTTCAGGGCCACCAACAGATCCCTTGGGCCACCAGCAGATTCCCAGAGCCACCAACAGGTCCTCAGGGCCACCAGTATATCCTGAAGGCCACCAGCAGATTCCCAGGGCCACTGTGCTGAAGGAAATGAGGAGTTTCCCGTGCTCCTGATGTTGTTTTGGCTCAGGGGGAGCTCCTTTAGGTGCCGTGTCTGGCACATTTCCAGCTTTGTCTGATCCTGGCGGGAAGCAGCTCAGCATTCCCAGGGCAGGCAGTGCCACCTTGGTGATGGCCCAGAGGCAGGAAGTGCTGTCCCATGTTCCCATCCCTCAGGAATGGTGCCGTCTCCAGCCTCTTCCCTCCCCATGCTCCCCTGACCCGGTGCCAACATAACATTTGCAGCTCTACCACCCCATACTGGGAAAATTTGGGAGAAGTTCAGGATTGATCAGTTTTAGGGAAAATCCAGGCTTTGGCATGCTCAGGGTGGGGGGTGAGACCCCCCGCTGGGAAGGCCGCAGCTCTGCTGGCTGGTGATGGGAATGTGTCAGATCTGGCTCCGTCCTGTGTTCCTGGACTCTGCTCTGGTTCTCCGGCACCAGGATGTGGCATCCAGGACATCCCGGCAACAGCCCCGGCACCCTTGGAGAGCCTGGTAGTTGCCAGGCTAGTGTGCTTTCCCAGCCGTGTCAGTGGGGAGAAAACCTATGGAAAAGGGGCAGGCCTGTCCTGTTGCCTGGGAGAAATCCCGAATGCCCCCAGAATTGGTGGCATGATGCTGGCATGCTCCAGTTGGGAACTGGGAGCAGGAGGGAAAGGCAAGGAAGAGGGGGAGCCGTATTCAGACTCGGTGGAGAAGCGAATTCCCACTGAGAATCTGGACAGACGGACGACGGTCGGCGCAGGCGGCCAGAGCAGGGTTAAGGGCGTGTCCCGTTTTCCAGCATCCCTTTGGTGCAGAGCCGTGGGGATCGGGGGCGTCCTGGGGGTCCACGCTGAGGGTCTGGGTGCTGTCTCCCGCTCCCGGTTCCACGGGATCCATCCGGGAGCGGGCAGGGCGCGGTGCCGCCTGGCACGGCGCTGGCAGAGCTCGCGCCTCCAGCTGGCGCGGGGCCGACGGGAGCCAGATTTAGTTTCCTGTGACTGAGAGGTTGTAAATTGAACTAATTTAGGATTCCATAGGAAAACGAAAGGAGGGCGGCGGCGGCGCGGGAGGGGGGGGGCAGTGCCCGGGCAGTGCCTCCGGCTCCGGCCATCCCGGCTCTCCGCTCCTCTCCACTCCCTTCCCTCCTCTCTCTCTTCCTCCCGCCTTTCGCTCTTTCTTCACCTCTTTATTTCGGTTTTTGGAGCTATTTATCCTTCCCCTGCCATCCCCCTCTATCCCTGCCGCTGGCATTGCACGATGGCACAGCTTTGTCCCGTGGCAACGCCGGGATCGGGATGAGGTCGGCGGGTACCTCTCGAGGCGACTCCTCGGCGGTCCCAGGGGGACCCGGTCCCGGGGCCACGAGCATTCCAGGCCGCCACGGGCATTACCGCCCGGCTGCATGGGCCGCGCCAGGCATGCGCTGCTTCCTCGCCGGCATCCCGCCCGCTCTTCCCGCTCTGGAAGCCTGTCCGTCCCGGGCCGGGCTTCTCCGCTCTCCGCGTCCCACCGGAGCCGCGTCCGCATCCACCGTCCCAGAGCTGGGAGCCTCCCAGCTCGGGCATCTCTCCCTGGGGACCCCCCGGCTCGCTGGAGCGACCCCGCGGCGGGGATTCGGCCCCGCGGCGCCGTGGGATCCCCCCGATCCCGGCGGGATGGGGACGCGGAGCCCCCGCGGCGCCGGGGCGGGAGCCGGGGCTGGGCGGGGAGGGAGCGGGGCCGAGGGGCCGGGCCGGCGGCACGTGAGCGGCCGCCGCGGGATTTGCCTCCTCGCAGCAGCCTCATTCTCCCGCAGACGAGGTCGGGCGCCGGGAAGCGGAGCGGCAGCCGCGGGAAGCGGGTGGGCACATCCAGCCCGGCCGAGCCCCCCGGGGGGGACGCGGGACGGGCGACATGGTGGCGGCACGAGCCCCCCGCACCCCCGGCAAGGCCGAGCCGCGGGCGAGAGGCGGAGGATCCGGGCGCCGCTCCCGCTGGCTCCCGCCGGAGCGTTCCCTGCGCTGGGGCATCTTCTCTCTAACTCTCTTCTTTTCCTTCCTCCAATTTTGCCCCTTCACCTTCTTCTCCTTTCTCTCCTCTCCTCTGCCCTTCCTCTCCCTAAGTTTCGAGGACTCCACCCTGTCCACAGCCACTACCCTTGAGTATATCCCCACCTCAGCAGGCGATCCCAAATTCCAGAGGCCCCGCACGCTCATGCGCCAGCAAAGTCTGCAGCAGCCCCTCAGCCAACACCAGCGCGGCAACCACAGCCAGCCCACCACCAGCCAGAGCCTGGGCCACCTCCAGGCCCACAGCGGCCCCTCCGGCACCGCCGCCAACTCCCGCGGCGCCCGCGGCGGCCAAACGCGCCAGGGAACGGCCGCCGGCTCCAAGCAACGCATGGCCGGGGGCCGGAGCCGCTCCAACCCCGGCAGCTGGGACCACGTGGTGGGGCAGATCCGCAGCCGCGGCTTGGACATGAAGTCCTTCCTGTAAGTGTGTGCTCTCCAGCGCTCTTCCCTCCGTCGCCATCCCCATCGCCTGCTCCTCTGCTCCACCATCCTCTGCATCTCTGTCTCCTCTGGTCCATCGTCCTTTCCATCTCATTCTCCTCTGCTCCTTTGCCTGCTCCATCCCCATCTCCTCTGCTCCATCCCTCTGCTTCATCCTTCTCTCTTCTGCTCCATCCCTCCCTCAATCCCTCTCTCCATCCCTCTCCATCCCTCTTTCCTCTGCTTCATCCCTCCCTCTATCTGTCTCTCCATCCCTGTCTCCATCCCTCTCTCCTCTGCTCCTTCATTCGCCCCTGCACGGCCGCTCATCCATCACCCCCTCGGGGACACGCTGCCCATTCCTGCGGGAGGATCCATGTCCCCTCCATCCCCCTCACGGGGGGCAGGGATGACCCACCCCGCCCGGGGGGCTCAGGGAAGGGTCCCCCAATCTGCTTTGTCATGTCACCGGCTGGGCTGGATACTGCACTCCTTTTCCATCCCCAGGGAATGCAGGGATGATCCAGCCCGCGGGATAGCCACCGGCGCTGTCCCCGGGGAGTGACATTGTCCCAAGGATTCGGGGAGGGGGTGGCGGTGGCCCCTGTGCAGGGCGACCGTGTGTTGGGTCCCGATATCGCTCCCAGCCGGAGGATCCGTGTGATCCTTAACCTCCTTAACCCCATCTCCTCCATCGGCGCTGGATTCCCAGCATCAAACCCCGGGGGCTAATCCGAGTCCCGTGTTGTCGCCGTGTCTCGGCACATGACAATGTCACTCCTCCGCAGAGCCGGTGCCCCCGGCTCCATCCTCCCCTGGATTCTCCAGCTCCTCCCTTTTCTCCGTTTGCCCCCCAGCACCCTGGAAAAAGGGATGCTGAGATCCCAGCTGCGCCTCCCGCAGGCTGGGAGCGCTTGGAGTGGGACACGGGGACTGATCCTGCCCTTCCATGAGCTGGCACAGCACCTCCTGCATCAGGATTAGGTGGAAAACACCCCGAGAGGCACCAGTTTGGGTGCTCATCCCGCTCCTTCCCGCACGGGCAGCTCTGGAGAGAGGGACGAACCTTCCTCCGGGCACCCTGGGGTGCACTGACCGTGACCCCCCCTGCTCCTCATTCCTCTCCGATCTTCCCTTTCCCACCGAGAAGTCCCTTCCAGCTCCATTTCTCGGGTTCCCAACATGGAGCTGCGGCTCCTCAGCCGTCCCGAGGGTCACGTTCTCCCTGTTTACCGAGCCCTGGTGCCGCTTCCAGCCTGGAATTGGCGGAGGGGGAGCAGCCGCAGCGCCCAGACGTGCCGAGTCAGCGCGGAGGAGCCGCTGCCGCTTCCCACCACCTCTTTCCCGATCCATTGATTTTCCTTTTGCTCTGCTCACCCTCCCCGGCGCCGCGGTGTAAATGCGGCTCCGGATCCCAGAGAGGCCGTTCCAGAGGGGGCAAAGAGCCTTGGATAGGGCACCGCCACCCCCTCCTCCGTGGAATGATGCTGGTGCCTCACTCCTGCCACGCTGTCCCTCATTCCCAGCCCCTCCGGTCGCCTTTTCCCCCTTTCACCAGGATTTTGGCATCCTCCCCGCCTGGACCGGTGGAGGAGAGGGATATCCAGGCGGGGGTATCCAGCTCCCTGGAGCCAGTGCCTCTCTCCCCACAGCCCATCCCGCAGGAGCCGGTGGGCACATCCAGGGTCCCCAAGCCGAGGTCCCGCCGGCTCCTGCCGGTTCCCCGCCTGACGCTGTGTTCTCCTCTCTCTTTCTCTCTCTCTCCCGCTGCCGGCGGGGCCCGCCCGGGCAGGGAAGGCCGGATGGTGGTGTTATCCCTGGTTTTGGGACTCTCAGAGCAAGATGACTTTGCCAATATTCCCGACCTGCAACCCGCTGGGACGCAGCCGAACCAGGCGAACGCTCAGGGGGACAAGAGGTATGAGCGAGGACGAGGCCGGTCCCGCAGGAGGAGGACACGAGGGCCCCATCCAGGGAGGAGGAGGAGGAGGAGGAGGAGGCTGCCCTCGTGGAGCGCCAAGGTTGGAGCGGCACAGGGTGGCCCAGCGGGCACCGGGACGTCTGAGTTCTCCCCGTCTGAGTTCCGCCTCCGGAGCGGCGGCACCGAGAGGACTCCCCACCCCTCCCTCCTCCCTCCTTCCTCCCCCTCCTGCCCTTCCCGGCGCTGGCTGCATGCGGGGGGACGCGCTCGGGCAGCCGCGGGGCAGGGGGGACACGCAGGGGCCGCCCCAAAAAGACGCCGCACGGGCTGAGCCGCGTCCCGTCCCCACAGCGCCGCTGTCGCCTCCGTCCCAGCGGGACGGGCAGCATCCCTTGGGATACGGGGACACCGCTGCCCCCTCCCAAAGGGGCAGAGCGAGTGCGACGTGCCGGGAGGACGCGTTATCCCCGTTCTCCTCCGGCACGGCACGGCCCCTCGCCTCCGGCTGCTCCCCGCGATCCCGGGATGCCAAAGGCTTGGCATGGCACGCCGCAGCGGCAGGAGAGCCCGGCTGGCAGCGGCGGAGGGTCCGTGTGCCGCCGGGAGCGGCTGTTCGTCCCCTCCGGAGCAGGGGGGAGGTGTGAAGCCGGCGGGCGCTGCTCGGCGTGCGGCTCAACTGGCACCGTTCTCGCCCACCGGCTATTTTTACCCTGCTCCGCTTGGTTTTCGCTCCATCTTTTAGCACTTCCCTCCCCGGCGTCGCGCTGCGCAGCCGGTCCCTGCCGGGAGCACCGGGAATACCGGGAGCACCGGCAGCGCGTGCCGACGGGACAGGGGGGCACCTGGGACACGGGGGGGGGGGGGGGGGGTGGCTGTGCCGCAAAACCCCGCTCCCGCTTCCCGCATCCAGGCTCCAAAAACCCCATGCCGGCGCACGCATGGCCTCCCCACCTCCATCCCTGCTCCTCCCCATTCCCTGAGCTCCGCAGGATGCGGCGGGTCCGGCCGGCGGAGGGGCCGCGCCCGGGCGGCCTCCGCTCTCTCCCGCCCGGCGACGCTGCCGACCGACCGCTCTTCTTCCTCTTCCAAACACCTCCTCCATCCCTGTTTCTCAGCTTCTTCCTTCCAGCCCGTCCCCGGCGGCTCCAGCCCGGCGCCTCGGCGCGTCTCCCGTCCCGGCGACCAATCGCTCTCCGTCCGTCTGTCCATCCCCCCTCTCCCATTCCCTCCCGGCAGGCCGGCGCTGGATGACACCGCTCCTCCTTTCTCTTGCTCTTTCCCGCTCTCTCTCCCGCTACCCGTGATTTCCTGCGGCTCCACCGGTGCCTCCTCGCCCAGCGGCTCCTCTGCCTTTCATTTTCCCTGGTTTTAACTTTATTTTCCCTCCCCAGCTGCCTCGGCCTCTCCGGTCCTTCCCGGGTGCCATCCCGTGTGTGCGTGTGGGTGTCCGTCCGCTCCCCGTGTGTCAGCGTGTGCTTGGCGTGGTGTGGCGTGTCCGTGGCATGTCCTGTGCCTTCCCGAGTGTCCCTGCACCTCTTGGTGGTTTGTCACGGTGTCCTGGCTCAGCGGGAGCATCCCGGGGTGCCTGTCCCCCCTCTGCCATGTGCCTGTGTCCCGTTGTCCCTGTGCCTTGTGGCAGTGTGGCCCCGGTGCATTCCCGTCTCCATCGCTGCTCTGTCCGGCTGCCTCCCGCCGCTCCCGGCTGCCCACCCTTCCCGGCACCATTCCCACCATCCGGGAGCCACCGGGACAGCGATCCCGGGAGGGGTCTCAGCCGCAGGAAAGCACGTGGAGCACCCATGGGTGTCCACCGGGATAACGGGCTGTGGTGTGTGAGGTGCAGCCGGAACCGCCGGTGGGGACGGGGCCGTCCCTGGCCTGGGGACATGGACGGTGTGGGACCTGCTGCTGTGCTCCGAAGGTCCCAGGGCACCCACTGGCACCGGGATTGGGGCCGGGAAGCCGGTGGGCCGCAGCCACTGGTGTCCTGGTAGTGTCCATTGGGTGCTGGCACAGCCCTGGCTCAGTATCTGCTGGGAGAGGGCGCCCGGACAGCCTCTCACAGTCTCGTCCTCGGCTCTCCCGGCCCCTCTCCTCCAAGGAATTGCCTCTCTTTCCGCAGGTTGCCGGCCGGTGGCAAGGCCGTGAACACGGCGCCGGTGCCGGGGCAGCCGCCCCACGATGAGTCCGACCGCAAGACAGAGCCTCACTCCTCCGTCTCCGACCTGGTCAACTCTCTGACCAGTGAGATGCTCATGGTGGGTGGACGGGATGCACCAGGAATGGGGTCTCCACGGTCGGCATCCCGCCCCGTGCCAGAAGAGCTCCGGCACATCCCCCCTGCTCCACTGAGTCCCCGCCGGCTCAGCACGTCCCCGGGGCCGGCACGAGGGAGCGAGCAGGGCCGGACACGTGAGGGCTGTGCTGTCAGGAGGGATTTGGTTAATTGGAGCTCCCGCTTCCCCGGGACGAGTGGCACGGAGCCAGGAGTCATGGGAAGCGGCAGGGGCAGCAGGGAGAGGCTGATGGCCCCTGACAGCTGGCGGGGCCGGGGGCCGGGGGTCGGGGTGACGCGAGGCCGGGGGGACGGGGGTCCCCAGTGACTCCCGGCATTGCTCTCACCTCCCTCCTCCTCCCCCCAGCTCTCCCCGGGCTCCGAGGACGACGAGGGCCACGAAGGCGTGAGCCGGGAGAACCTGGGCCGCATCCAGTTCAGCGTCGGCTACAACTTCCAGGAGTCCACCCTGACCGTGAAGATCATGAAGGCGCAGGAGCTGCCGGCCAAGGACTTCAGCGGCACCAGCGACCCCTTCGTCAAGATCTACCTGCTCCCCGACAAGAAGCACAAGCTGGAGACCAAGGTGAAGAGGAAGAACCTCAACCCGCACTGGAACGAGACCTTCCTCTTCGAAGGTAAGAGCTGGGATGGATTGAGAGTGGGTGGACTGGCCCAGGGCAGGAACGGAGCCGTGGTGGAACCTGGGGGTTCAGCTTGACTCAAGCCACTGGCATGGTGGCCATTGGTGGTGCCGTGGGCTGGCCAATCCTCCAAGGTCAGGTTGGAGGGGTACCCCTTTTAGAGGACATGGGGGAAAGATGGGAAGGCTCCATCCCCCCAGCAAGCTCCCACGGGTGGGAATTAACCTGGCACCGGCCTCTCAGGCCGTGGTCTGCTCCTCGTGCTCTGTGTGGTTCCAAAGTCTTGCCATCATCATGGGAAGGGCGAAGGGGTGCCGGCTCCTCATTCTCTCTGGCTCCTCATTCCCTCCGGTTTCTCCTCCCCTCTGTCTCTGGTGCAGGGTTCCCCTACGAGAAGGTGGTGCAGCGGGTGCTGTACCTCCAGGTGCTGGACTACGACCGCTTCAGCCGCAACGATCCCATCGGAGAGGTGTCCATCCCGCTCAACAAGGTGGACCTCACCCAGATGCAGACCTTCTGGAAGGACCTGAAGCCGTGCAGTGATGGCAGCGTAAGGCCCTGGGCCCACTCCCACCCCCTCTGTCCCTGCAGTGTCCCGTCAGGACCACCCCCCACGTCCTACCCCAACAGGGATGTTTTCTGCTGTTTTCCCTGATGAGACGTTTCTCTTCCCAAAGCTTTCTATTAAGGCACCGAGTGGCCCATTTTGGGTCAAAACAAGCTGTTTCAGGTAGATCCAAAATGAAAGTTTTCTCCTCCTCCCGCCTCCAGCAAGACCAGCGAACGTCCCACCGGGAGTGTCCCTGTTTCCTCCTGCCCTGATTTTCTGGGCAGCCCCAAAACCCCAACTCCGGGGGGGGGGTCCTGTCCCATCACCCCGCTCCCACTATGGAGCTCCATGGGGTGTGGCAGTCCTCAGGGTGCCCACGAATCCCACAGGGAAGCCGCGGGGAGCTGCTGCTGTCACTGTGCTACAACCCCTCGGCCAATTCCATCGTGGTGAACATCATCAAGGCGCGGAACCTCAAAGCCATGGACATCGGGGGCACATCAGGTACGGCCCCGGTCCCCTCCCGTCTCCGGCTGGCATTCCCCGATTCCCATGCCGGTGCTGAGCGGCTCTTTTCCCGCCCAGATCCCTACGTGAAGGTGTGGCTGATGTACAAGGACAAGCGGGTGGAGAAGAAGAAGACAGTGGTGATGAAGCGGTGCCTGAACCCCGTCTTCAACGAGTCCTTCGCCTTCGACATCCCCACGGAGCGGCTGCGCGAGACCACCATCGTCATCACCGTCATGGACAAGGACAGGCTGAGCCGCAATGATGTCATCGGCAAGGTGGGGACACGGGGGGGACACCGGGGGGGACACCGGGGCTGGGGTCGGGCAGGACTTGGGATGAGCGGCTTGAGGGTGACCAGTCTGTCACCTCCCGACAGGGACCCCTCGTGCTGCGGGGCCCAGGTTTTCCCAGGAGAGCAGGAAATGGGGCATCGGGACCCAGATCTGGCTGGCTCCCAATCCCCTGGGAATTATCCCCTCTGGATTTGCTGCACGTGAAACCCACACGGCTCGTTGTGGGTGTAACCGTGACAAACGAGTGCAGTAATATCCGCTGTTACCACTCGATCCCAAAAACCCTCCAAGAAAACACATCAGCTGGCATAAATCCATTAAATGAGACCCCAGGTCAGCGCCACGGGCTGCCAGGGAGGGGCAGAGGTGGCAGCATTCCCGATATGGGCACATCCGAGGGCACAGTGCCAGTGGCACGACTGTTCCCAGAGCACAGTTCCATGGACACACACAGACAGCGTTCATGATATTCCATTAAAACCCCACCACGTGGCACCGGCTCCTCGAGGTGTCAGATGCGGTGGCAGCTGGCACACGCGGTTTTCCATATGGAAAATCCATGGGTAAAAATAGCCCGGCGCCAGAAAAGCAGGGATGGAGGAGTTCGGGGGTGAAGGCGGCGGCAGCAGGGAGCGGGATGGGAATGGAGGGGCCGGGAGCGGAGCCGCGGATCCAAGGACGCCATTCCCGCAGATTTACCTGTCCTGGAAGAGCGGCCCCGGGGAGGTGAAGCACTGGAAGGACATGATCGCCCGCCCGCGCCAGGCGGTGGCACAGTGGCACCAGCTGAAGGCCTGAGCCCCCCCGGGCACCGCGGGCTCGGGGTCCCCGTTCCCAGCTCCCAACCCCGCTCCCGGCGCGGGACCGGCGGGACAGCGGGACCCTGCGGCAGGAGAGGTTGGGAGCTCCCCCGGCCCCCCCCGCTCTCGCCCCTCCCCGGCGCTGGGGGTCCCGGAGCTTCCGCGGATCCCCGGGCGAGGAGGGGCCAGAAGCGACGATTCCCCCCCTCCACCCCTATTCCCACCGCCGGGCGGGACTTCTGCGAGTGCTTCCGGAGCCTCTCGACCCCTCCCCGGCCTCGCCCCCACCTCCAAATTCCAGGGGGGGGTCAGGCTGCGGGAGCAAGAGGGACCCCCCCCTTCCCGTCCTCTTCCAACTCAATAAAACCTCTCCGAGCGTCAGCGTCGCCCCCCCCCCCGCCCTTCCGAGCCCCCGCCGCCTCTCCCCGAGCCCCCCGGGGCGGGCGGGGGGCGCGGCGGGGAGGGGGCAGCCCCTTTTCCTGGGATCGGAAGCCATGCCACAGTTCCTTATCCAAAGCGGGCCCGGCAGCGCTCTGCCCGTGGCCGCGTTCGATGCTTTACCTCCGTCTCCGGGCTCGGGGGGACCGGGGGGGCCGCAACCCCCCGGGGGGACCCCCTAGTCCCGCCCTCACCCCCTCCCCGGGCGGGTTGCGGCCCCTCGGGGGGATGCTGGGCCCCACGGAATTCCCTGTCCAGCCGGGATGATCCCGGACCCCCGTGAGCCACCGGGGATAAGGGGTGGAGCGAGCGCTGTCGTGCCCACCCCGGGCAGGCGACATTCCCTGCGCCGGCGGCATTCCAGCCCGGCAGGATCAGCGCCAGCAGCATCCCTGAGTTCCCCTGGGACGCACATCCCCCTCCACCAGGACAGGGACCCCCCAAAACGGGGACGGACCCGACGGGGGTCGGGGAGGAGTGACAGTGGGGTCACCCCGCGTGGCGGACGACGGATCATCCTCAGTCTTCCTGCTCCCCCCGCGGCTCCCCCCTTCCTTCTCCCCTCCCGCACCCGCGGCGGGGACACCGACACCCCTCCGGGTGCCACCGAGGCCACGTCACCATCGTCACAGCGTGTCCCCCCCCGTGTACAGCCCCTCACGGTGACACCGGGCACTTGGAGCGGGGGACACCCCCCGAGGTGCTCCAGGGGATTCTTCGCTGCAGGGAGGGGAACCTGCACCAGAACCCCCCAAAATCCGCGGGATTCCCGGCTGCTCGGTCCCTTTTCCCGAGGGGTGACATCCCTGCCACCATGGGGACAAGCCAGCTGGGGACACGGTGGCCGCGGGACAACCCCTCCCGCAGCCCCGATTTAGACGATTTTGGACAATCTGGAGAGAAAGTCATAATTCTGCTACTTCAGTAATAACGACGCTTTTAGGGACATTTGTATTTTTGTCAGATTCTCTCTTTTTTTACCATAAAAGAAGAGATTTACACGCCTGGGGAAGGGGACGGAGCCGAGGGGGCTGTGCCAAGCCCCTCCCTCGCCCCATCCCGCTTTTCCAGGCCGGATTCCTCGTCCGCGGTCGGGCTCCCCGGGGGGGCTTTGTGTGTTCATTTTTAACTCTAGAGCTCGTAGCCGTGATCTTGTTCAGGTATTTCTCTTCTTCATGTGACGGTAACATCCAACTGGTGTGTAAAATACAGCAAAAAACAGGCAGAAAAAGACAAAAAAAAAAAAAACACGAAAAAAAAAAGAGAAAAATAATAAAGGTAAAAACCCACCCAAACTAAAGATCCCGGCGCGGCCCGGCCGAGGAGCGACGGGAGCGGGGGGTGCCCGGTTGGCGATGCCAGGGAAGGGGCGCGCGGGTCGGGGCGTCTCCTTGGCGGAATCCTATTTTTGGGGAGCGGGGCCCCTCGTTTTCTGGAGGCAGCCCCTGCTCTCAGTAATAAAGGACAGTCAGTAACTGCCAGCGTGACTCGGCTCCGGGATCGCGGGAGCGGGAGGGCGGATCCTTGGGGGCGGATCCCACCCGGAGCGGGGATGGGAAACCTGGAGGAACAGTCCCCCAGCACCGAGAGACCCCCAGCACTGGACATCCCCTCAACACTGAGTATTCCCCTATTCCCTGAGCATCCCCCCACTCCCTGAGTATCCTCCCCAAGCCCTGAGTATCCCCTCCACTCCCTGAGTATCCCCCTCAACATCGAGTGTCCCCCCCCAGCATTGAGTATTCCCCCCAAAACACTGAGTATGCCCCCAAAACACTGATATCCCCCTCCAAGCCCTGAGTATCCCCCCAAGCCCTGAGTATTCCTCCACTCACTAACCCCCCAGTTCCCTGAGTATCTCCCTGAAAACACTGACTACCACCCCCCACTCACTGATTATCCCTCTCCACATTCCCAAGGTTGGGACAGGCCATGCTGGGGGACCTCCTGGTGAAAGGGACACATTTTGGGGGGCAAAGGAAACAAGGAACCCCCTCCAAAGTGTCCCTGCAAAAAGGACAAGGACAGCCCCTATCCCACAGCATCCCGGGGTTTCCAGGATGCCTCTGGCAAATCCTGGGCTTGCCAGGGCAGTTAACAAGGGCAGTTAATAAGGGTTCACTAAGAGCAGCCCTGGGAAGAAGTTCCAAGGAGGGGTGGCTGGAAGTGGGGGGATCCTGCTGGGATTGGGATCCCCCTGGGGGCTTCGGGGACAACGGTGACACCCCCCAGCCAGGTGACAACTGGAGGGGAGACTTCCCATTCCATCCAGGCCTGGGACGGATTCCTTGGGGCTGGAAGTGCTGGGTAGGGACTGGAATGTGGCTCTGGAGGGTGGGAAGAGGCAGGAAACCGTATCCCGGGTGGTGCCACAGGGAATGTGTCCGGGAGCCACAGCAAAGGCTCCGGTGACCAATAAATAATTCAGTGAACGCCACTCTTGAATAAATAAAAGAAATTCCAAACGCTGGGGTGGCAGGAGAGCCATGTCCTCCATGTCCTGGATGAAAGCCCTCTGGATGCACCTTTCGGGCCTTGGGATCCAAGGCACAGGACTGTCCGGGGGCCACCCACAGCCGGGTGGAGGGGAGGTGGCTGCTCCCACTCCGGCTCTGGCTCCAGCCGAGCCAAACTCAGGAATTTCAGCATTTCAGCATTCCTGAGCTCCTGATGGCCTGGCTCTGCCTGGGCTCCCACACCGGCACCAGGTTTCTTTTTTCACCCAAAACCTTTGAACGTGGCAAAAAGAGCAGCAATCCCGGCGCTCCTGTTGCTCGGAGCCGCCGCAATTCCCAATCCCGCTCCTTTGTGCTGGCAGCCGGCGGGAGCAGATGGGAATAGCAGCATGATCCCGGCTGCGGAGAGGCCACAAGCCGGCACACGCCAGGCCGGCAGAGGAGGCAGGGATATATATAGGGACAGACGTATGGATGATGCATTCCCAGGAGCCGGGGCTCGCCGGTGCCAACATTCCCAAAATACCTGAGCGGAGCAGGAATCTGTCAGATTCCCACTGACTGCGGCAGCTCCTGGTCCTGGTGTCACCATGATCGTCACAGGATCCAGCTCCTTCCCCAGCCAGGGTGTGGAAAACAGGGCTGGAAAAAATTGGGTGGTGGGAAAAGACCCCAGGGAGGCAGGATCCCCCCTTTCCCAAATGTAGGAGCTCCTGGATTTGATCCCAGCCATAAGGACAGGGGGGTGGTATCGAGAGCCACCTGCATCCCAATTCCTGCCAGGCATGGATGGGCTGGCGTAGGTTTACATGGAGCTGGTGGCTTTGGATCTCGCTTAGAGCCGGGGCTTGGAATTCTGAGCATCTCTGCCCCCCGGGTGATGGATAATTCCTGCTAGTTAGCAGCAGTGTCTTCCCAGGAAAAGCAGCAGCACCCCTACATTGATGGCATGAGGGACTGGGAGCCACCCAGCATTCCAGGACTGTGTTCCTGGGAATTCGTGGGATTCTGGGATACTCTGCTCTCCAGTCCCACAGTGGGTGGGAAGAGGGATTGACAGCCTGGACCTGTCGGGAAGACCTGAATCCAAGAGGGAAGAGCAAGGCGAGCTCCTACCAAGCCCTAAATCCCTGGAATTACTGCTGGAAAGGCAGGAGCATCCTCAGGCTGCGCTGCTGGAAGGGGTGGCACCGACAGCTCCTGCACATCCCGCAGTTGAGGATGCTCCACGTGTCCAAAATAGCCACTGTGGAGTGGGAAAGGGGGGGGAAATCTGGTGCTGCCAGCTCCAGAGAGGATGTGGCAGGAGCTCTGGCTGCTTCCCAGCCCCCAAACCCCAACCCCTCGGGATTAAAAGCGGCTGCGCGGTCGGAAACCTCCGGTAACTTCCAGACCTCGGATCCATGAGCTTCCCACCACACCAGAACGGCTTGGAGACAGGTGGAGGGAAATGGGACTCCTCCAATGTCAAAAATAACAGGAGCACCGGGATGTGTTGCCGTGTTCAGATCCCAGACAAACCTTTCCTGAGGCTGCTCCCTGTCACCTTCCCCTCCCGCCAGGTTTCCTTGGAATTGTGCTTTTTATTGCTTGAGTTTGGTCCAAGAGGCACTCGGAGACAGGAAGAGGGAGGATAAGGCAGCAGAGCCCTGGATTTGGTGCCTGTTTTGGAAAGTCTCCTCTTGCCATAGAGGGAAAGCCCTTTCCAGGTTGGAGAGAGGCAGGTGGAATTTCCATCAGCTCCTTCCCAAACCTGATGGCAAGGAGGAGCCCGGTGGGAAATTCTCTTCCCCAGCCCAATTCCAGCAGCAGGATGGGGATTTGGGAGGTGAGAAGGGGTCTGTGCCTTCATTCCCAAACCCTGCAGCTCTTCAGGATGCCAGGATCCATGTGGAATGGATACAACCAGCACTGCTTTTCCCTCCGCTGCCCACAGAGACGGGATTAAAGGATTTTCGGAAGTGGCCAGGTGGGAATGTCCCTGTGCTCGTGGGGACACTGGGACTGGGCAGGAGGGTCTGTGGAGTCACCCCTCAGGGCAGCGGGCTGTATCCCAAATCCAAGACACCCTGGGATGCTCCCTGGTGGGCTCGTGGATCCCGACAGCGATCGGTGAGCCCTGTGGATCCAGGAGGCAGCTCCTTGCTGTCCCAGCTGGGAGATGCCGATCCTCGGACTGTCGGTTTTCCATGTGGAGGCTGTGAGCCTCCTGCTTTCCCAGTCTGAGCTGGGAATTCCTTGGGAGGCAGGTGGAGGCCCCGCATCCTTCACGTTTCCTCCTGGGAGCCCGTCAGGGCCTCAAATTCCCCTTCCCCGTCCTGCGGGCCATCCTCGGCGGGCACCGGAGCGGCCTCGGCTCCTTCCTCCTCCCCCTCCTCCTGCGGGCGCTGGAGGCTCCGCAGCCGCTCCTGCCGCGCTTCCATGTATTCCTGCGCCCCGTCCCCCACCAGCCGGACCTCATCCCCGACCCGCGGCGGCTGCCGGGCGGGGTTGTGGTCGTAGGAGAGGAGGCGCAGGGCGGCCAGGCCGGTGAGGTCCGGGAAGCGGGAGACGCGGTTGCGATCCAGGTCGAGGACGCGGATGCCCTCCATGCGCAGCAGCACGGGCGGGAATTCCTGGAAGCGGTTCCCGTAGAGCCAGAGCCCGCGCAGTCCCGCCATGCGGGGCAGCCCCGCGGGGAGCTGGGACAGCCGGTTGTCCCCCAGCTGGAGGCTGCGGAGCTCGGGAAGGTGCAGGAGGGCGCGGGGGAAGCGCGCCAGGAAATTCCCCTCCATCCAGAGGCAGCGCAGGCTCTGGAGCTGGGAGAAGGCGGGAGGCAGCCCCTGGAGCCCGTTGCGGCCCAGGTACAGGTGAGCCAGGCGGGGCAGGTCGCACACGGCCTCGGGCACCTCCATCAGCTCGTTGCCGTCCAGGGCGAGGGTGCGGAGGTGCCGCAGCTCCCCGAGCTCCTCCGGGATCTCCCGCAGCCCCGCGTCGCTCAGGTAGAGCTTCCGCAGCCCCGGCTCGGCCCACAGCGCGGCCGGCACCTGCCGGCCCCGCACCTCCAGCCGCTGCTCGGTGCCGTCGGGGCCCTCGGCGGCCGCCACGGGGGCCCCGCGCCCCGAGGAGCCGCCGCTTCCCATCGCGGAGCGCCTGGAGAGGCCCCGGGAGAGGCCCCGGGAGCGGGACGTAGGCGGGGCGACGCCGTGGCCATGGCAACGCGAGCGGCCAATGGGAGGCCGCGCTGCCCGGGAGGAGGCCGCGCCCACCGCGAGGCCACGCCCCCGGTCCCCATTCATGCCCCGCCCAGCCGCCCCACGCCCCCCCCCGCGCCCCATTCTTGAGCTCCCTGTGCCCCACCCGGCCGCGCCCTGTCCCCAAACAAGGCGGGCCCCCCTCGCGCCTCATTCCCAGCCCGGCAGCCCGGGGTCAGCATCCCCACCCTGAACTGGGGCCCTAAACTGGGCGTGGGGCCCTGAGCTGGGTGGGGTCGGTCCCTGAACTGGGGCCCTAAACTGGGTGTGTGGCCCTAAACTGAGTGTGGGTTCCTAAACCGGGTGTGTGTGTGTGTGTGTGTCTGTGAGCTGGGTCAGGATCCCTAAACTGAGTGGGGAGGTCCTGAACTGGGGCCCTAAACTGGGTATAGGCCCTTAACTGGGTGTGAGGTCCTAAACTGGGTGGAGGGCCCTCTGGGACCCCCGGTGAGCTGGGGGTGGGGGTCCCTCTGTGACCCTCCACATCCCAGGGAGCCGCCCCTGGGAGCACAGACCCCCTTCCCAGTGCCCTTCCACTGCCCCGTGGCCAGGGAGGACATGGACGAAGCCCCCCCGAGCGCCCCCCGTGCCCACCCTAGGGGGTCCTTCCTCCTCCTCATCCTCCCGCTTCCCACCCAGCCCTGCCTGGATTTTCCTGCCGCAAATCAGCTGTGTCATCCCAAATCCAGCTCGGAAAAACGGGCTCGTACCGCCCTCCGGTGGCCGCAGGACAAGTGACACCCCCTGGCCCCTCCAGTCCTCCTCCCCGGAAGGATTTGGGACGCAAGAAACCCCCCAAAACGAGGGGGGGACAACTGGGATCGTGCGCAGGGTCTTTATTGCTCTCACGGGGATTTGGGAGCTTCCCAAAAAAGCCGAGGCTGGGACTCCCGGGATTTTGGGGGTCACATGAAGGGGTCGTCGTTGTGCCACAGGTTGGTGGGGAGGTTGTTGGTGCTGAATCCGCTGGGACGCGGGACCTGGACACCCTCCACGGATCTGGGAGCCCAGGTGGGACCCTGCGACCACCAGCCTGGGGAATCCAGGAGGGAAGCATCAGTGAGGGTGGAATTCTCCCCTCCCCGGGGGGGGGCTGCAATCCCACCCCAAACTCACCTGGAGCGACAGGAGCCAGGGGTGAGAGGTTGGTCAGGTGCTGGTTGTGGATCTCGGAGTATCCTGGCGCATCCTGCGGGATGGACAGATGGATGGAGGTGGGTTGGGTGCCTGATCCCACGGGAAAGGGGGTTGGGACGGGCGGCATTCCCACACCCACCTTCTTGCCGGATCCCTGTGGTCCCACTCGGAGTTCCAGGGGGGCGAACGGGGCTGGGTGGCCCATGGCGGGCAAACCCTGCACGGGAACAGCGGGATGAGGAGGGGACACAGACACGGGGATGGGATCCTGCTCACCCCACTGCTTCCCGACTGGGAGCACTGGGATAGAGCGTCCCCTCCCCACGGGGGTCTTGCCACCCCCTCCCCTCGCTCACGTGGCGGTTCTCGGGGCAGCAGGGATCCACGGCGGGAACGCCGGGCTCCGCAGGGAGATGGCAGGCGTCCCTCGGGGGGCAGCCCGACGACAGATCCGGCTTCCACTGGGGGAGATCTGTGGGAGCACACGGAGCAGGCACGTTCCCACTGCTCCCAGCACCGTTCCCAGCCCTGCAGTTACCTGGATACACCTGTGCCCCCATGTTTGGGGTGTGGGGGACGCAGGGCAGGGGGACTCCAATCCCAGAACCTCCGGGGATCAGATTCGGTTCCAGGACTGACACCGCCAAAACCCCCGGAGTTGGAGTTGGCCCCGGGACCACCAACATCCCTAAAACCTCCTGGGGACGGAGCCAGGCCTGGAACCACCAGTATCCCAAAATCTTCCTGGGGATGGAGCCAGGCCTGGAACCACCAGAACCCCAAACCCTCTTGTGGATAGAGCTTTCCCTGGGATCCCAACACCCCAAAATCTTCCTGTGGATGGAGCTTTCCCTGGGATGCCAAAAGCTTCACGGGGATGAACCTTTCCCTGGGACCCCAATATGCCAAACCCTCCTGGGGATGGACCTGGGCCTGGAACCATCAGGACCCCAAACCCTCCTGGGGATGGAGCTTTTCCTGGCATCCCAACACCCCAAAATCTTCTTGGGAATGGAGCTTTCCCTAGGATCCCAAAATCTTCCTGGGAATGAAGCTTTCCCTGGGGATCCCAA